CTGCTCCTATGATGCTGCTTGGCCTGCTGTGTTCATCCAGCCCTGCACCTTGTTGTCTCTATAACTGAAATGGTTTCTGGTTTTACAAATAATGATAATCAGCAAGAAGATTTCACTGATAACACAGTGTGAAGCGGGAGAAACACAGCAGGCCAGACAGCTTCAGAGAAAGAGGAAAGTTGGCGTTAACTTTACGGCTCCCCTGATGCTGCCTGGCCTGCTGTGTTCCTCCAGCTCCACACTGTGTTGTCTCTGGTTCCAGCATCTGCAGTTCTTGCTATCTAGGAGAAGATTTCACTGTACCATTACAATACAAAATCAACATCCTTTCTTTGTGTACTAGAAATACTGGAACATTCTTCAATATTCGCTGAAAAGTAAATACATATTATTCATTTTACATTAAATAGATCTGTCATATTTTAGTGTCTACAGTTTATTTTCAACAAGTGGGGAACTCCTTGATTCTCTAAAGTTGACTTAAGTGTCCCTTAGGTCATATTCACATTGTTTCTCCTGCTCAATATGAAATGTTTGAGATTTTCAAAGAGACATATGGGAAAGGCACTGCAGTGAAGAACTCAATTCTTTAAAGAAAGCACTCTCTGTTCCAAAGAAGTATGCTTTGCACCACAGACTCATTTTAGAAGGGTTAACAGGTTAGACTCTTAACATTAAAGAGAAAGTTGACAGCAATGGGATAGGAATTAAGCAGCTAATACCTACCTCCATTTCTTTATTTTCATATTTGTATGCATTTTTTGTTCCTTGGCTTTTCCTTCGAAGTTTTTTGAGCTCTGCTTGTGATTTCTCAAGAGAATCCAATTTAGTTCTATGTTCTGTTTGGTATTTTTTAAGAGTGGCCTGCAAGGAAAATTGTATCAATTGAATCAATCTGCAGTTTTTTGGACTCCAAAAATCTTCAATTGACATGAATAATAGCTGAATATTGTGCCTGGTTGAAGTATTTAGGAGTGTTCAAACCTACTGAAATTCAGATAAGCATTAGGTTTCTCTTCTGGAAATGGCCAATATACATTGTTAATCTTTGTTTCTAATTTTAAAAAATGAGAGTACAAATTGCATCAAGTCCCACTCACATATCACTCCTGTTCTCACTGAACCACTGCTTCCAATTAAGTAATGGCGTGATTTTGAAATCCGGAACCCTGTTTCCAGGTTGTGCTATGGACTTGTCCTCCCTTTCTTTTTAGCACTCCAGTTCCAAATCCTCATATTTGCACACTTCCACCTCTGGCCTCTTAAACAGACCTGATTTTAATCCTTTACAAATGGCAGCCATCCCTTCAGTTGCCAAGGCAATAAGGTGTGGAACCCTAAACTTCCCCAAAACCCTTTATCTTTTTCTCTTTAAAGGTACTCTTAAGGCCTACTGTTGTGACCATTTTCTTTTGGTTATTTGCCCTAATATTTCTGTACGCACCTCTGCACTGAATTTTGCTTTATGAAGCTCCTGAAAGGTGCCGTGGGACATTTTATCATTCCAAAGATGATAAATAAATGACAGTCATGTTTGAACTGTTAATACAGCATCTGAAAATTAAATTGAATGGTATTTCTCTGATCTTAGAGTAGCCCTTCATTTTTTGGTTAGAGGATGATATTCTGAGACAAAAATGTTGGCAGGAGTTTACATATCTTTGACATATAAAGTGCTTTTATTTGGCATTTCAATTCTTCCTGCAGTTCAAATACCTTAAAAAAATAAGAAACCGGCTTCTAAAACTGAAAACTTTATGCAAACAAATTCTATACTTGTGCTACGTTACTGATAGATCAAAATCAAATTTCCACTGGATTTATTTTTACAGAAGTAAAAAGTGCTTTGCAAAGCTATTTTATGACAGCCGTATCCTGTTTCAGGTACACAAGCAGTTCCTCAGCTCTGAGAGTGTTCCGCTCTGTCAATCTGTACGTAAATTGGAATATAATGCAGGACAATGTAACACAACCATTTGTAAGTACAGGAAATGTTTATATATCAGGTCTTTAAAATTACACCTCTGTATGGGATTGGATGAGGATTCAGTAGTTGAAAAAGTTGAAAATTTTCCGAGCTATTGAGGTTACATTTGTAGTTTGTTACAGAAGTACAGTCATCAGTAATCATAACTTTGACTTAGCTACAGTCATAGAATTAAAACATTAGATACTTACGTTCATGTATTTCACATCCTGATCAGTTTTTTTCTCCAATTCACTGATGATATCTTTGTGAAATTTCCTAAACTTGAAGATGGAGAAAAAAAGCTTTTAATGAGATACCCCAATAACTGTCAGAAAACCAAAGTGACTAAATAGTGATGGAACAGTTTATATCTCAAAAAAATATTCCCTCAAGTCCAGTCACCATTGATTTTCTAGCTAATGATTGGGCAGCAGGAAGAGATGATATTCATGCAAAATTTCCAAAAAACTGTTCTAGGCAAAAATTGAAGGGATAGCAGTGTAAATTTCTCAATAGCTTTATTGGAGTTTCTTGAAACCAATATTTAACTTCCATGGGTGACGAAATCAAATAAATTCCCTCCTACACGTTTGAGTTCGTCATGGCCCTGAATTCTCTATTCAAAATATAGGTGAGGATCATCCCTTTGACATGTCTTCATAACTAGACATCAAAAGATCCATGAGCATCTTAAAACTAATCAATCAATCTGCTTTTTTTTTTTCCAAATGCTTGGTAAATATCGTGCACCTACTGAACAACATCCTACTATTAAGATCAGGAACAAAGGGAACAGAACCAGGCTATTGCGTTTAACTTCTGAAAATATAATAATCTTGAAGTTTCAGTTGCAAGGCAAAAGTAAAACATTTAAAGCTATTTTAAAGATTATAAAACTAAAATGTTTATTATGTACTTACATGGTCTTCCATATCCATGTTGATTTTCTTGTGTACTTCAGAAATTTCCATTAGGACTTGTCCTATGGGAACAATTGCAGATTCTTAAATACTTTGTTTTAAAAAGAAGTGATTTGCGCACAGTTTTCCCCCTTTGTAAGTAATCTTAAATTCCAAGTGTATCTTCACTGCTGAAAGCAGAGACATCTATTTCCTGGCCTCCATCCATTCAACAACTCCTGAATGTTGTTTATGAAAGATAATCCACATTTGCTTCTGTGCTTATTTTTCCCCATTTGAAAGCTAGTTTGTAATTAGTTTGGCTAAGACAAGAAATTGAACAGAACAGTCAATATTGAAAATGGCATCTTCTGACAGTGAGTGGGCTTAAATTTTTAGGGCCATTGGGAGGTTCCAAATATAACATCTCTAGCTAAATCAACAAGGGCCTTCTTGGCTTCAACTCATCGGCAGGCGATTTTGCTTAATCAGCACAGGGATGTAGTGGATAGCTGATCCCATAGTGAAGTAATACCAAGGTTGCAGATAACAACCTTTACATCTAATTATACTATAATCCCAAGGGGATAGAACATTCTTAGAATGTCACAGACTCAGTCCTATTTCCAAGCGTGTCCCATATCAGTAGCCATTGCTGATGACAATCCATTTGTTATCATAATGTCCATTTTGTATTATTCCTTTAAGCCATTATTGTAGTTTAAATATCACCATTTCTCTCACTATCAATGCCACCACTCTTCAAATTTGTTAGAAGCATAGAGCTGCTCCAAGGGAGAGGTGATCTGGTAGTTTAATCAAGCAACCACGGCTTGCCCTTTTCTTCTTTACAGAAGATACTAGGAGACCAGGGGATAGAGGAAATTACATAGCAGGAGGTACATTGGCACGGTTGGAACTGTCCAACCAGAGTGAGTGAGTGGTGATAAGTAAAAGAGATTGAAATAGCGTTCTGGGACAGGACATAGCATTGGAGAGCTGAAGAATAGTAATTGAGAAGAGCCAAATCCACATACTCATTCTGCTTGGGTAGGGCCTTGATTGTGCAGGCTCCTTTATCTTTTAATTGGCTTATGGACACTGAAGTTTGCTGGTGATGTGACATAATCTATAGGGCTGGGCAAAGTGCTTAAAAAGGTAAATGGCAAACTGTGGACATTATCAGAGGGAACAACGAGTGACAAGAATGGACTTGAGGCTGGCAACAATTACTATGGATGTGGAGTCCTTGAGCTGTTTGACTTCTATCCATCGGGAGTATTAGTCAATAACTACAAGGAAGAGATTCCCATGGAAGTCAAAAAGGTACATTCCCAGGCATTCCCATGGTGGCTCTGATTGTGAAAAGTGCACATTAGACAACTAGTGACAATGGCTGCAATGGTGTTTGAAATGGCTAACACCAGACAGCGTTGCAGGCCTGTGCTCACCATTTAGAGAGGCATTTGTGGCTTTGGTGTAGGCAATAGAAAATGTCTCTCATTTTCATTTGGAGAAACTATAACCCTATTCCTATTGGGAAGCAGTTGTTGTAGTAAGGGGAGGCATTTGCAGTCCTCAAAATATTGACAAAAATCTGCACAGGCAGTATACGAAGGCAAACCACTGGAGCAATATTCCCAAAACTGAACTCAGTGTCAGTTTCCTATTCATTCCTGATCTGGTGTAACCACTGAGTGGATGCTGGAATGAAGTAGAAAGTAAGTCCCAGGGCAGATTTCATGAACATGAAAAATATCCTGGAATTTAGCCAGTTTTCACAAGACTTTGGGACATGATGTCAGCAGTGCTCTGGATGTGTTCAGAGGCAGTATTAAAGGGCATCAGTGAAAATTATATTCTGATGGGATTTTCACAAGCTGATTTATACTCACAATGGTCACCAAATGCTAGTGGTCAACTGAATAACAAATCTGAGACCATAAACAGAATTGCTCAGAAGCCACCATGATTGCAAGGGTTTTCTTTGGTGATCACTGCACAGCATTGCTATCTCAATTATGCCCAAGAATCACTGGAGTTAAGTCTGTGGTCGTTGCATATTCCAAATGGCTGCTGCCTTGAGGATCCAAATTAATCCTGATCCAACCACTATGTTACCCAGGAAGTGGATGAAAGCCTGGTAAAGACACATTTATGTTTGGTCAGCATTCTGTGGACACAGGAGTATGGCCCTTGAACAATGATAATGCTCCAACACCATGGAGCCACAGATGAAGTCACGACAGATGACATCAAGGCCTTTAAGGATTAGTTACGGGGTGAAAGATTTCCAGCACAGATGCCACACCAAACACCAGGCAGTTGAAACAATTTCTGCTAAAAAAGATGTGATGAAAGTTGTTAGGAGTTTGTTTAACAGGAGATGACAAAACCCTCCGGTAGCAGAAGCCAGTTTTCCTGCTCCAGATGATCTCCTGTCGGTGGGCAGACTTGGAGCCTTCATCTGCCTGCCCAGACACCATTTATAAAGAAAATGTTGGAAAGGATGCCTTTATTTCCAGCATGGAGGAAAAGGTGGGCTATACCGTTGGGATGCTCAACACCCAAAAATATGATGAGACCATATTCTTGTGAACTGCATAACTAGGTGAGTTGAGATTTTAATCTATCTAGTGGAGTCAAAGCATCAGATGTGAAAGACGTGGTATATCAAAGTTCAAGACAATCTAAGACAGGAAACTAGTAATATGAGAAAGAAGAGTACAGGATGGCAGGAAAGGGACAAAGATAAAGAGAAACCTATGAATGGACCAAAAATCAAGACTAGATCTTATAAAAATAACAAAGAAAAAGCAAAGAAAAAAAACTCTTTGAAAGCATGTAGTGTTCTCAAATTAAACAAATTGATGGCACACATTGAAATCAATAAATATAATCAGATAGCCATTACAGAGATGTGGCTGCAGGGTGACAAGCACAGAGTTCTGAATATTTCAGGAAATGTGATATTCAAGAAGCATAGGAAGCTAGGTATAGGTGGCGAGGTAGCACTGTTAAATCAAGGATAGCATTTGTGCTAAAGTTAGAGATGACTTTCATTCAGAAGATCAGGATGTAGAATCAGTTTGGATGGAGATGAGGAATAGTAAGGAAAAGTAGTCACTAGTGAGAGTGGTCTACTGCCCCTAAAGTAACCATATAAATGTAGGATGAACAGTTCAGTAAAAAAACAAAAAAATTGGATGCGCGTGGTAAAGAAATGGCAATATCAGGGTGACTTTAAATCTACGTATAAACTGAAAAAAAATCAGATTGGCAGTAGTAGCCTGGATGAGAAGCTCAGAATGCTTTTGAGATTGGTTGTTGCAACATATTCTAGAACCAGACAGCTGGTTATATTAGACTTTGGATTATGTCATAGGACAGGATAAATGATCTTAGAGTAGAGGAAAGGCACCCCTTGCTAGCAGTGACCATAAGATGATTGAATTTTGCATCCAATCGGAGAAGATGGAGTCCAAGACTGATATTTCAAGGGCAATGACGTGGGTATGCATGCTGAGTTAATTGAAGACTACTGGCATTCTAGACCAGGGATAAATCAAGAGAGACAGTGACAGACCTGAAAAGGGGATATTTCAGAATATTGAAGATAAGTAGGTTTCTACTTCAAAGAAAAATTCGAAAGAGAAGAGCCACCATCTGTGGTTAACTAAAGGGAAAGCATCAAATTTAAGGAAAAAGCATATAACAATGACTGGCAGATCAGATGATTGGTCAGAATGTAAAGAAAAGCAGAGTGACTAAAATATTGCTCAAGAAAAAGGAATGAAAGTATTAGAAGAAGCTAGCTAAAAATGAATAACGAGTTTCTACAGGTATTTGAAAAGGACAAAAAGTAAGTGTTGGTTCTCTCAAGAATGAGGAGCTAATAGTAGATAAAGAAATTATAGATGAAATCAACAAATATTAAATTCTTTACTACAGGGAATATAGAAGCATTCCAATAATAGTTGTGATCAGGAGGTGAAAGGGACTTGGTGAAATTATAAACCTGAAGGAAGTGTACAAAGCAAAACTGATGGAGCCGTGGATGGACAGGTCTCTGGGTTCAGATGGACAAAGCACTTTAAGAGAGGTGGTTAATGAGCATCAGATGCATTGAAGTTAAGTTTCAAGAATTATCCTGAATCTGAAAATGTTTCATCAGACAGGCAAGTAACAAATATAATCCTGTAGGCAAAATAAAAGGAAACTATAGGTCAACCAGCTCAACATCTATTGTGAAAAGTGTCATAATTGATCATTAAAGAGGTTATAGTTGGGTAAAAGTCAAGTTAATTGGGAAGAGTCAGCATCGTTTCATAAAAGGGAACTCATTTTTAACTAGAGATAACAAGGTGTAGAGCTGGATGAACACAGCAGGCCAAGCAGCATCAGAGGAGCAGGAAGGCTGACGTTTCGGGCCTAGACCCTTCTTCAGAAATCATTTTTAACTAATTTGTTGGATTTCTTTAAAGCATTAACAAATGCTCTGGCAAGCCTAAAGAACTTCAAGTTAGCTTGAAGCTCAAAAGCTTGTAGTTCCAAATATACAGTTAACAGTAGAGAATTTCACCATCACAATGTGTCATGAATGAGTTATCAAAAAAACTACAGATAAAAGGAAAAACTGCAGACATACAACACTTGGATTTCCAGAAGGTCAAACTGCCATAAAAGGTTATTGTGGATAATAAAAGTTCATGTGTACATAGTATCATATTTGCATGTTTACAAGATTGATTGGCTCACAGAAAACAGAGCATGCATCCAAATGGGTCTTTATCTGATTGACAGGATGTGACAAGGGGAATGCTGAAGGGGTCTACTGGGACTTAAACATTTTATAAATTTACATCATTAACTTAGATGAGGGGACTGAAGGCATGGTAGCTAAATTTCTATTTGCCACAATGATAGGTAAGCAAATAAGTTTAATGACTTAAGGTTACAGATGGATATAGTTGGTTGAGTAAGTAGACAAAAATCTGGCTGATGGAGTATAATGTGGGAAAATGTGAAGTTGTTCAAGTTCGCAGGAAGAATAAAAAAGCAGAGTTACTCAAACAGAGAACGT